CCCCAAAACCCCAAAACCCCAAAACCCCAGTAAAATGGCAAATTAGTTATAAAATCAAGAGTTAATAAAATAGCTATTCAAGATAGTCAAAGATATTCATAATCATTTATATAATAAGTCCATAACGAGTCCTCTCTTGTCGCTTGTCGCTGTTGATATGTGAGATTGTGCTGAGCCTTTGAGCAAAGGGATTGGCTGATTCTTTGTTACTGGAGGTCTTGCCAATGACCCTGTGTAGTTATAATTCAATCCCTTCATTCCATTCAAGTCAATTTCTTGATTCTGGAAGAGATTACCCTATTTCTTCAAAGGGGAAACTGGCTTATTTACTGGCGCTTGAGTCTTTTCAATCTTAGGCTAGCTCTCAGGCTCTTCTTGATTATTATCCAGTTCTTAGACTTTGTCCTTATCCTTAAGTGCCTTCATCTTTTAGTAGGTAACTATTCCAGACGTAATTACAGTCACTACAATCTGCATGTAAGAAGCAAGCATAACAATCGACACTATAGAATGCATTATTTAATCTGAAAGAGCTTACAATAAGATACATCCATTTCAGTAGTTCCAAAAGGAGTGCAGAATAATACCATGAATCCTGATTGTACAACAAGGAAAAATTCATTTACTACGTAAAGTTTGTTGATGTAGTCCTCTCTAAATGGCCTTATGTAGCTAAGATAAGCCATGTTAGCTAATGTAGTTATTACAAATAACAGTAGGAATACATTAGGCTGGTCATCTAGTAGGACTGCTATCATGACTAGTGCAGTTCTTTTCAAAGCAAACGGAAAAAATGTGAAATATTAGAAAAAGGACATATAATTGTACTCCCCATAGAGTTGTTAGTACTCGGATGGCTTGTTAGGATCATCTTCTTCATTATCAGCGCCTTAAGCCTCTTCCTTATTTTAGGCCATAAGTCCGAATAAAAATAGTAAATTGGTCTACTTCTGAACTTTAGTCGTTTATGTTCTTAAATGGAATTCATTTGTAAGGATGTAATTCCTATATATCATTCCAGTTATAAGTTCGAATAACACATAACCCCCATATACACCAATAATCATAATGCTTAGATAACTGCCCATGCCTATATTTATACTCTCAGCTGAAAGAGAACTAAGATCAAGGACAGATGCAAACGTTAGTTGAAGAAAAGCTAATCTAGCAACTGCATGAGGCAATCTCCATCCAATTTTCTATATAGTTTTACCTACTTTCAAAAGCCTTTGATTGTCCTGTCTTTCTGCTATTCCAATTACTGATTTAGCCACTGCATATACAATAAATGTCGATCCTAAAAGACAGGCACTAATTATTAGCATGGCAACACCATTAATTAGAAAACTATATGTCTCATAACCCATTTCCTTATAAGCAGTGGAGTGATAATAATCATAGTCGATTTATTTAGAGAATAGACTACTGAATAAATCCTTAACCACAGCAAAGTTTAGATTTACTACACCCACTGCATCAAAGAATCCCCTTAAGCAGCTAGACATTGTGTATTCTGCTACTCCAAGTAAATGAAGTTATTAAATAGAAGTTATTAGTATGAGAGTAGGCTGAAATGATCCTCTATAAAAATTATTATAAATTATTATTTACTGGTAAAGTATCATAAGGACTACAGATAATCCAAGGAAGCCAAGCAAGAAGATTTGATAAAGAGATTTACTCAAAAATTCAGAGTCACAACCTAGAAATATTATCCTGATTATTCTTACTTTCATTATCGTTTGCATTAAGATAGCCATCAACAGTATTGTTATACATTGGAGTGCCATATTAAACACTCAGTGAATCAGATTTATCAATGAAATTCACAACTACTTACTCAAGATTACTGCCATAGAGTTTATCATTAATGGTTAAGTTAAGAGTCATGTATTTAGGTTTAAGAGTTCCAGCCTCTAATTCCTCCATTCTATCAAGCTCCCAATCATAGTCATAGCTGTTCTTAGGACCCTGAACTAGGACCTCCCATTTAGATTTGTCCCAAGAATTCTTGAGATAGTAGTTTTCAGTTAGATATATCTACATTTTTGTGTTATTTGCATTTACTTTTGCTAGCTAAATATAGAATGGTGGAAGAGCTTTGCATGTATCAGGCTTTGTAGTTGTTCCACCAGAGCAAGTGTAATATGGCTCTACGTTACATGTTCTATCACAACCATCCCCATTGATGTAGTTACCATCATCGCAATTGTATTTTAAAAAATCTAAACCATCTCCACATATTTCCTTACAAGTGTCCTTTGTTAAGGCATTGCCTCCCGAACAAGTCCAACCCTTTTCTGTTTAGCAAACTGAGTTGCATCCGTCTCCATTTTTAGTGTTACCATCATCACAGTCTTTAGTCCCAAAGTTATAGCCGACTCCACAAATTTCTTTGCATTAATCCGCAGTTGCTGAATTACCACCTGCACATGTGTAGCCTGCTTCTACTTTACAGATTGAGCTACAACCATCTCCACTGACAACATTTCCATCATCACACTAATGAATAATACCGTTCCTAGTACCATCTCCACAAACTTCAGTGCAAACAGATGCAACATTTCTTGGATAGTTGGTGCAAGTCCATCCACTTTCAACAGTGCAGGTGTTTGAGCAACCATCTCCACTGACAGTATTTCCATCATCACATTAATAGAATCCTATACTCTTTCCATCTCCACATATTTCAGTGCATTTTGATGCAGTCGTAGAAGATCCTCCACTACAAGTAAAGCCAGCTTCAATCTTGCACTTGCAGTCGCATCCATCTCCTGAGAGCAGATTGCCATCATCGCATTACTCTCCAATCACTGTACCATCTCCACATTCCCCTGAGCAAACATCTTAAGTCGATGAATCACCGCCTTCACATAGATATCCATTCTCAATAACACAAACTGAAGAACAGCCATCACCATCAATTGTATTTCCATCGTCACATTCAAATGAATAGCTGTGATAGTTCCTACCATCTCCACAAATTTCTTTGTAAGAAAATCCACTTTTAAACCACCCAGGTTCAATATTACAGTAAACATCGCAACTATAAGTCATAAACAAATTATTTGGAGTTATACCCATCTCCGATTTCTGAGTCACCATCGTCGCACTTTGTTGGGTTTGTAGAATATGAAACGGAATCACCGCAGACTTCAGTACCTATGCGAGAATTTAAATAAAGACTAGAATTTACATGTATCGGATGTAGTTGCAGATCCTCCTATACACTTCCAGTAGGTTTCAACTGCGCAAGTAGCTGAACAGCTATTTTATTAAAGCAAATATTGATTACCCATCTCCAGAAACTGAATTACCATCATCGCATGTATTAAATCCCATGTTCCTTCCATCTCCACAGCTCTCAGTACAGACATTTGGGACAATTGAAGTGGCACAAGTAAATCCTACTTCAGTTGTGCAGTATGAAGTACATCTTTGAAATTGTTATAAAATTAGTGTAAGTTTACCCATCAAGATGTTTATTATTACCATCATCACATTGTTCCCCTCCTATTCTTCTAGAATCTCCACAAACTGGATAGCAGACATCTGCTGAGATGGAAGACCCTCCAGCACAAGTCCAATAAGTCTCTACAGTGCATGTTGAACTGCATCCATCTCCATTAGCAGTGTTACCATCATCACATGCTCTGACTCTCATATTTCTGCCATCTCCGCAATTTTCAGTACATGTCGTTTTTCCACCTACTCCTGGAGTTGTGCATGTGAAACCAGTCTCAATCACACAATCTGTTGAGCAACTATATAATGAAAGATTATTCATCAGGATTTCATGAGGATTACTTACCCATCTCCGTCAATATTATTTCCATCATCGCAAGCTGTTGCTGCAGTCGTAAATTTCTTACCATCACCACAACTTTCATAGCATGTGGTTTTAGCTAGTCTTGCGCCAGTACAAAAGAATCCAGTCTCAGTAGTGCAAGTTGAGCTGCATCTAAATATACAATACTTATGATAAATTAATTTTTACCCATCTCCACTGCTAGTGTTTCCATCATCACATTGCTCATATTCTTGATTAATACTATCCCCACAGACTACAGTCCAGTTGGGCATTACATCTCTAACAAGCAGGGATAATATCAGTAGAAGAGCAATCTGCTATTTTTTACACATTTATAATTAATTATTGCTTTTTTAAATTTTCACAACTCTATCCATCCACTCTAGCTCTCTTCCACTTTGCTATTAATAATATTTTTACAATTTACTTCCTCTATAATTAAAAAGTTTTAGACAATCTACTTTTGTATAATCCTTTATGGGGTTTTGGGGTTTTGGGG